TGCACCCCTCTGCCCCCCTGCTCATTCTTTTCCTGTGTAGAAGGAAAATAATCCCTAAATATAACATATATTATAACCAAAAACTCATCATGTTAAGCATTGTAAAGGATACAGTTCACAGCATTTAGGACGTGCCACCATCACCAGGATCTCCTTCTAGAATATTTCCATCCCCTTGCAAGGAAACTTTGTACACACTGGGCAGTCACTCTTCCCTCCCCCTGCCCCTAGCTTCTGGCTACCACTGATCTGCTTCCTGTTTCTGTGGATTTGCTGACTCTGGATATCTCACAGAAATGGAACCTTATAATCTGTGATTCTTTTTGCCTGGCTTTTTTCATCCAACACCCTGTTTTTACAACATCCAGTTGTAACATGTATCGATACTCCATTCCTGGGGTGTCTGGCTGGCTTGGTCCATTAAGCATCCGACTCTTGATTTCGGCTCAGGTCATGATCTCAGCGTCATGAGATCGAGCCCCGTACTGGGCTCCATGCTGGACATGGAGCCTGCTTGAGATTCTCTCCCTCAGTCTCTCCCCCTCTTCTCTTCCTTTTAAACAACAACAACAACAACAAACTTTTTTTTTTTTTTACACGCCTATACAATATTCCATTGTCTGGATAGGCCACATTTTGTTTATCCATTTATCACCAGCGGATGCGGGTTTGGTCTGTCTTTGCCTTCCAGTTATTGTGAATAGCACCGGTTGGAACACGCACACACGAGTTTTTGTTCCAACACCTGACTTTACTTCTAGGCATGTGGACCCAGGAGGGTCACAGGTCAACTCCACGAGTAACTTATGGAGGAGCCCACCAAGCTTTTTCACATTCTCTCCAGAGATATAGGAGGGCTGGCCTACTGACTTTGCTTTTTTCTTTTTTTTTTTTTTTTAAGATTTTATTCATTGATTTGACACAGAGAGAGAACACAAGTAAGCAGAGAGAGAGGAGGAAGCAGGCTCCCCACCGAGCAGAGAGCCCGATGCGGGGCTCGATCCCAGGACCCTGGGATCACGACCTGAGCCAAAGGCAGACGCTTAAGCCACTGAGCCACCCAGCTGCCCCTGTCCTACTGACTTTGAAATGTGGCTTAATAAAACCCTTTCTCCTCCATGGAGAAACGACCTGGGCGAGCTTCCTGTTTCTCAGGATTCCTGAGATAATTCCGCAGCATCACCAGGCAACAGTGACTCCTGAAGGGTCCATCGCACCTGCCTGGGAAAACTGGGAACACGCCATAGAGATCCAACGGGAGGCCCGAGCACTGGGGCTTTCTGGAGCGCCCTACATTCCTGAGATTGGGCGTGTACCTTGTCACAACCCTGGAGGCAATACCAGTGACACTGTTATCAGGCAATAATGGGTTCTATTTGGAAGGCGGGGCAGCTAAGCCAGGTGGCTCCTGCACCCGGCGGCCATCATTTCAAGGGGCAGCTCGGACCCCGCTGTAGACACAGGCTTACCAGGTGCAGCTTATTTGGCTGTGACGTGTCTACCTGAGCCCAGGGCACAGCGGAGAGGCACTGCAAACGGGACAGTGTGGCATGGAGTCTCTGGGGCTAGGAGACTGAATCTTGGCTCTAGTATTTACTGTTCAATGTCAGCTGGGGTGTAACAGTACTTTGGCCATCTGGAAAATGGGGATAAGCACAGCCCCTCGCTACTTCACGGGGCTGTGGCAAGGATTAATTAAATGCATCGATGCATATCGTACACTCAGAGCAGCGCTAGGTAGGATTCCCTCTTAATCTCACTGCACCTGGCCTTCCATATCTGCCCCATGTTTCTCTCCCTGGTCCTGCCTTCCCTAGATCCTGGTGAAATCCCAGACCTGCTTTCCACTCTTTCCTTCTACAACTGCTCTCTTCTTCTTAGCATCCCAAAGCCACATTCTCCCGATTTTCCTCTTACCCTGCCAACTGGCCCTTCTGCTTTTTCTCTGAAGTCGAAGGGTGAGTCAGAAGTTTCCCATTCAAATACCCTCAGGGAAAGACACATTTTGGAAATAGCTGGAGGTGCACGAACATGAGCGGGGCATGGGATGACATTAAGCAATGAGCGCTGGGATGCCTGGGAGGCTCAGGTCATGATCTCAGGGTTCCGGGGTCAAGTCCTGCCTTGGGCTCCTTTCTCGATGTTGAGCCTGCTGCTCCCCCTGCTTGTGCTCTCTCTTTTCTGACAAATAAATAAAATCTTAAAAAAAAAAAAAAAAGTGACCACTAATGTGAAGTGTGAAAAATGGCTAGGTGGGGTTGCCTGGGTGGCTCAGTCGCTTAAGTGTCTGACTCTTGATTTTGGCCCAGGGTTGTGAGATTGAGCCCCTTCTTGGGCTCTGTGCTGGGTGTGGAGACTGCTTAAGATTCTCCTGCCCCTCCCCCTCCTTGCATGCTTGCTGGAGCACTCTTGCTCTCTCTCTTAAAAAAAAATTAATTAAATTAAAATGGCTAGGTGATTATGTTACAAAATTAGTCTTTATCTGTTAGAAATGAGAATTCAAATATTTCTTGGAAGCTAACAGGACATCGGGGATTTAAATCGTTCCAGAAAAAAGAGAAAACAAAAGAAGGCAACACTGGACCACATGTCTGGCAATTCCTGAAGCTGAGGGATAGGTAAGTAGCAGTATTAAGTATTCTGTGGAAGTTTGCAGTCTCCACCCCACCCCACCAACCCCTCCAACCCCGCCCAAGAAAAACAAAACCATAAAAGAATGTCCACAGGGCCCTGGGAAGTCATGTTAGTGTAAGAGGGGCTGGTGGAGATTGGGAACTCTGTAACTTGTCTAAAGAGACAGTCACTATTGAATCCAGATGACTTTTGTCAGGGAATGTGAGCCAAACATTGCCAAATTTGGGGTTTTTACTTTCAAAAGAAGCTGGACTCCTCCTGGATGTTTACGGGGAATTAGTTGACCACTAGTTCACATTTTCAAAAATAAAGTGCGGGCCAAAGAAAACAGTTTGTTGGTTGAGTCTGGCTCACACATTGGAAGGTTGAGACCTTTGCTTGGGAGGCGGTGGGGGAACCATGGGCTGTGGAATCCTAGGGCTTAGGTTCAAATCTCAGCTTTGCCTCTTTTTAAACTGTGTTGACAGAGGGCAAATTACATACCCTTTATGCCTCCCTGTGCTATGGCGAAAATAATAACAATAATCCCCTCTCACAGCTGTTCTGGGGATTAAATTAGATCACACTGAGCACAGAGGCTGGCACAGAGAGCTCCCAGTGAATATAAGCTATGATTACTATTATTGCTATGATTACTATTAGCTATTATTGCTATTTCAGTATATTCCATCTCTAGCCAAGCTCTAAGTGTGGGAATGGTCTGTCCTCTGATCCAGATCGTCACTCCCTCAGTTCAACTATCTTTCCACATTGATGACTCCCAGGTCCCTGTCTCCAGACCTGAAGGCTTGGGCCCAAGTAACATTTGATGCCTTCACAAGGCCAAGGCTGTCCAGGGTCCCTCCCACTTTGACCATGTGATAACCAAGCTCAGGTCTATCTCCGGAGCCCCAGTCCTCCTGGGTTCACCACTAGTGGTGGTGGTGGTGGTGGTGAGGGGTGGGGGAGACAAGACGACAGAGACAGCCAAACCCCAGACACTGCCTTGCCCTTCAACTCCTGACACTGGTCCTCCTCTATCTCTGCCTCATCCCCTCCTATCTATCTATCCACTTCCACAACCCGCTCCAGGCTCTGGCCTCATCTTCCACTTGGACCACTGTCCCAGCCTAAGCTTTTCATTCCTGGGTGCTAGAGACCCTGTGGGATGAGGAGAGCCCCATGGGAGGAGTTCTTAGGAGCCTGGGTAATTATAGAATATGTGAGGCACCCTACTTATCCACAGGAACCACAAGAGGTTCTGGGGGACCCCGAGGGATCCCAGGGGGACTCGAAGGGACGCTTTAGAATCATGGGAGCCCCACGAGGGTATTCTGAGGGGCTGTAAGAGATTACAGTTAAGTTCTGAGCTATCCTGGGGTTCCCAGGATCCTAGGAGCTCCGCAATGATTGATGGGGGCCCTGAGAAATTACGGGGGACCCACAGGAGTTCGACGGGGTGGGGCTCAGAGAGCCACGCAAGCCACAGGATGTTCTGAGGAATCACGGGAAGTCCATGGAGATTCTGGGGGTCCTTGGAAGATCAGGGGTGCCCTACAGGAATTCCGAGTCCCTGGGATTCACGGGAGGTCCGGGAAGGGGAGGCTGAAGAATCACAGGAGGTCCTTTGGGGGCTCTGAGGCATCGGGGAAACACCGCCGCAGAGCGGAGGTACGAGAGAGGCTCCGAAACAAGAGAAAAGACTCAAGGGTTAAGAGGCAGCAGCCGCAAAGGCTCAAGGGAATGCCCTTCAAGGGTGGGTCCTAAGGAGAAGCCAGAGTCACGGGAACCGAGAAGGGCGGACCTGCCGCGGTGGATCACGGGAGTCCGCGCGCCAAACAAGACCCGGAGGCCTGGGGAGGGAGATTCGGGCAACGGCGAACGGCAGGCCCTCACCAGTGCGCATGCGTGGCTCTCAGGCACCGGTCCGTACTCCAGCGTGGTGAAGATCTCTCGGGCGCTGGGCCTTGCACGCGTAGCAGCCATCACGCTCCGGGGCCGCTTTCCACCAAGGAGTACGGGGCGCTCTGCCCAGAGGAACCTTGAGGTCGAAGGGCGGCACCGCCCCCTCCAGTCCAGGGGGGCGGGACTACGGGAGATAGAGCGTAACCCCGCCTTAGACCCAGTGGCCCCGCTCACACGCTCCAGCGGGCAAGGTGGTTTGGAGCATGCGCAATCCTCAGAGCGAGGCGCGGTGGGGGACGGGGACAGGACAAAAATGTGTCTTGCAAATAGAAAGGCTCCAGATTTAGAAGCGTGGCCGTATTTGTGTATCTCCTTTCCACCCTGTTCATACTGAGGGCAAGGAGTTCAGCTTTTAGTCCGAAGTACATTTACTAGAGAATCGACTCGAGCTCTGGGACGAAGCGATAGTTCGGAGGTCAGAAGGGAGTCTTTTAGGATAGACGTTTAAATTAAGGTTTTGAGTGTGCCAGCCTGGACTGCCCACACAGTAGCTTGGCCAGATGTAGTCTGGAAAGAGGAGAGGTATCGCTTTAATCGACCCAGGAAGTGTGGCATTCAGAAATTAGGTTCAGGGTTTAAAGTTTTGATTGGTTGAGGTGAGAGGCGTGGCTCCAGCCTTAGACTATGATTGGCCGGAACGTAGTGGGGTTCCCGGATTGGTGTCTGAGCGTTTGAGGTGGACGGAAGCGTGGTCTGCTGAAGTCCTTGGTTACAGAAGCTGGGAGTGTGGCTGTCGTATACACGTTCGGCACACAGGACTTAGCATCTAGAACTGTTGTCTCCAGCAGATTGGACAACCGTGTCTGGCATGAGTGGAATTGTAGTCTCAAGCCCAGATTCTTAGATTTCATACAGAATAGTGGGTGTCCGGCAGCAGGCCACGGAGTTCTAATACTGGCCAGGGTCCCTCCCCGCCCCCCGCCCCCCGCCCCGCGCACGTCGGTGTTGCTGAGGACGCCTAGGTCTCTTCTTCAGGTCTATGGCGGACTCGAAGCTGCTGGTGCCGGAGCTAAGCGAGGCAGAGAAAATGGGCGCTGAGACCGCGCGTTTCGAGGAGCTGCTGCTGCAGGTGAGGACTGACCGACTCCAGGGTCCCTGGGTATTCGGGGGATTTGTGTGTGTGTGTGTGTGTGTGTGTACACACCCGCTCACGCACACGTGTATATGCACACCCGAGGGTGCTCAGGGATGGGACTACATTCCCAGAACGCACTATATGGAATTATAGTTGCTTAACTCCCAAGTTTTCTAGGCTCTGGAAGAAATGCAAGTGGGGTTGGGGTTGTTCTTTGCGGTCCTCAAAGGAGGAGCGGGACATAGTATGTCCTATTCTGTGTACATCTCATATGCATAAAATTTCTCGACAAACCTTTGAAGAACAAAGGAGGGTCTGATGGCCCAGACGCCAGCATGAAGGTGGTTGTTTTCCTTCACACAGGCCTCCAAGGAGCTCCAGCAGGCCCAGACAAGCAGACCAGAATCTACACAGATCCAACCACAACCTGGTGAGAAAGGCAGAAACCCAGAGAGAGGGGGATAGAGTTGCAAAGAGAGTGGACAGAGGCTAGGGGCAGGGGACACAGAGATAGGAGGCGGGAGAGAGGCACAATAATGGGAGTACACAGGCCTTGGAGGGGGTTGTGACAGAGATCCAGAGAGAGCAGGGAAGGAACTAAGATCTAAAGAGAGGAGGAGGACAGGCGTGACTAGGGGGAGAGAGACTCAAAGATAGAGAGTTACAGAGGGGGCGCCTGGGTGGCTCAGTTGTTGGGCATCTGGCTTCGGCTAGGGTCATGGTTCCGGGGTCCTGTGATCGGGCCCCGCATCGGGCTCCCTGCTCAGTGGGAAGCCTGCTTCTCCCTCTCCCACTCCCCCTGCTTGTGTTCCCTCAAATAATAAATAAAGATAGAGAGTTACAGAGCCCAGGGGTGGGGCGGGGAGCAGATTCAGAAAGCAGAGGACTGATCAAGAGAAGGGGACAAAGAGGGGACAGATCAAGAGAACAGAGACTGAGGAGGGAATGAATGGAAACCCAGATGTATGCAGAGGCACACACCTCAGGACAAACCTATTTCCACCAGGTTTCTGCATAAAGACCAACTCCTCCGAAGGGAAGGTGTTCATCAACATCTGTCACTCCCCTTCCATCCCTCCTCCGGCCGACATGACGGAGGACGAGCTGCTTCAAATGCTGGAGGAAGACCAAGCTGGGTTTCGCATCCCCATGAGTCTGGGAGAGCCTCATGCCGAGCTCGATGCAAGTCAGTGCTCTTGGAGGACCCAGGGATCTCGCTCCCTAGGTCCTTTCTTCCCAAGGATCCAAGGGACCCTCCTCCCTTAGGACCCAGAAATCTGGCTTTCCTGACCTTATCCTTTTCTCTGTGATATATGCCTAGCCTCCTGGGCCTCCACTACCTGCTACATGGGGTGGTCCTGGTCCTGCCTGCCTGGCTAGGCTGGCCCTTCTCCCTGCCCTACCCCATGGTGAGGGGGAGCTGGGCAGGTGTCCTCATTAGCTGGCCGGACCAGCTCTCACTCTTGTTCCTGTTTCCTTCCTCACCCTTCTCCCTGTGTCTCTGTCTCTCAGCCTTGTCTCACCTGTCTCTGTTGAGTTTCTTTCTCTATATGCTTGTCTTTCAAATCACATATGATCCCCTGAAGCCTCCTGGACCACCCTTTGGGCAGTGCCCTGGGGAGGAGGGACTGATCAAACCCAGAACTTGCCCTTGAGACACTCCTAGTCTTAGGCGAGGGTGGTGGGGACAGATGCGATTGCAATATGGTATGATTTGTGCTGCTCTGGCAGGGGTGGGGGGAAGCCTTCCTGGAGGAGGAGGTGTCAGATCTAAGATGTGAAGGAACTGGAGGAGTTCATCGGGCCAAGACAGAGAAGAGGGTTGTAGGCAGAGGGGAAAGAGGAGTCCAGAAGCTGGAGAGTGATTGAATTGGATTGATTGGATCGGTCAGTCATCGGGAGAGACTGGAAGAAATTTAAACGGACCAGGTCCCCAACAGAGAAGTGAGCTTCTCTCCAGGTGGGAGGAGCAGACCATACAGGGTCTCCAGTGCCACGCGGAAGGACACGTACCTTCATCTTGGGGGCTGGGAAGCTTTGCAAGGGCTGTGTGCAGGGAAGGGGCAAGGTCAGCGCTGGGATGTGGTGGGAAAAGACGCGAGGGGAAGAGACGAGGCTAAGAGACGAGGCTGGTGCAAGTCTTGAGCCATTACTTTCTTTCTTTCTTTTTTTTTTTTTTTAAAGATTTTATTTATTTTACAGACAGAGATCACAAGTAGGCAGAGAGGCAGCAGAGAGAGAGAGAGAGGAAAGCAAGCTCCCTGCTGAGCAGAGAGCCCGATGCGGGGCTCGATCCCAGGACCCTGGGATCATGACCTGAGCCGAAGGCAGAGGCTTTAACCCACTGAGCCACCCAGGCGCCCCGAGCCATTACTTTCTAATTGTCTCCGGGTCTCTCTGGTTCTTGCGGCTGCTGGCCTTTATTGGTTTTGCCTTGTCCCCACAGAAGGCCAGGGTTGTACCGCCTACGACGTAGCCGTCAACAGCGACTTCTACCGGAGGATGCAGGTTGGGGGCAGGGCTGCGGGTGAGGCCTGGGCCGGGGCCTCTCCCTACACCCGGAGCCCTTCCGCAGTCCCCCTCTTACTCCTAGAACAGCGATTTCTTGCGAGAGCTCGTGATCACCATCGCCAGGGAGGGCCTTGAGGACAAATACAGTCTGCAGCTGAATCCAGGTGAGGGGCGGGGCCTGGGCCAGCGGGGACTAGAGGGGCGGCAGCATCTTGGGGACAGCCCTTGGGAATGGTGGAGCTAGTGTGGTGGGCAGGGATTTCCTTGGTCCCTAGGCTGTTGACTGCAAGGAGAAGGCGGGGCTTCCCAAGGTTGGGGGCGGGGCTGGGGCGGGTAGTATCAAGAAACCAGATGAGGGGCGGAGTCTGGATAGCCAGGGGGCGGAGCCAGTTGCATCTCTATGGGACAGATTGCAAAACAGGGTGGGTAGGGTCGAGCTAAAGTGGGCCTATTTCCTAAAGCCAAGCTTGGGGGTGTGGCTGGATCCCCGGCATCCTCCGAGGGGCGGAGCCTCCCCCCCCCCCAGGCTCTTGCTGTCATGACTCCTATGGAAGCAACGGGAACCCCGACCCTACCACCTTTGACCCCGAGCTTCCTACCCGCAGAGTGGCGCATGCTGAAGAATCGGCCTTTCCTGGGCTCCATCTCCCAGCAAAATATCCGCTCCCGGCAGCGTCCTCGGATCCAGGAGCTGGGAAACCTGTACACCCCTGACTCCCTGAGACCTGAGGAAGGGTGGGCCTTCAATGGGTTCTCTCTGTCATGTCTCTTCCTCCCCATAGGAAGCAGTGTCCTGGGGGCTCTGGGAACCCAGAGAGGGGAGAAGCAACACTCCCATCCAAAAGGCTCTCCGAGGCAGTAGGGCTCAGAGGCGGGAGAAAGGGAAGGATGAGCCCTGGCGAGGACCTGGTGGGTGCTCCTCAGTTTGGGGTTTTGCTCCTCCCCAGCCCCGAGAAGCCACACCTGAACCTTTGGCTGGAAGCCCCTGACCTCCTCTTGGCTGAAATTGACCTCCCCCGACTGGTGAGTGCACGCTTGACCAGAGCCAGAGAAAGGTCTGGAAGGGTTAGGATCTCTCAGGGGGAGGGAGCGGGGCTCGTTGCCAGACCTGTGGGAGCCTGGTTAGCACTGCCCCCTGAGTATAGCTGCCTGCTGTGGCCCACTTTGGGAGCCGTCCTGAGGGTGCTCTGGTCATTGTAAGTGCTCAGTCACAAGGACTTGTAATTACGGTCTCTCATCTTTTTCCTGGAAGACAAGACCCTTTACATATGGTATCCCAACACAGGAGCCTTTTCTCCCTGGTCCCCGTGATTATCGCCCTGTTGCTGGGAAGGGAAGGGTGAGCTTATTTCTCTCTATTCCCAGGACGGAGCTCTGGGGCTGTCACTGGAGATCGGGGAGAACCGCCTGGTGATGGGGGGCCCCCAGCAGCTGTACCATCTGGATGCCTATATCCCCCTGCGGATCAACTCTGAGGAGAGCAAGGCAGCCTTCCATCGGAAGAGAAAGGTACCTGGGGAGATGGGGGAAGTGTGCAGGGAGTTGGGGCACTCTGGGGGGCTGGGACTCCTTGTCCCGAATCCTTATTCTGTTTTTTCCTGTCTCTCCTCAGCAACTGATGGTGGCGATGCCCCTTCTGTCAGTGGCTTCTTGATTGGATTTCTTTCTGTGCTTCCAAGTGGAGGAAGAGGCTGGTGGGGGGCTTCTCTGAAATTGAAATAAAAGATTTTTGCCTTTGTTCTGTGGCTGGCTAGGAGTACATGAGGAATGGGAGGGAAGAGGGACATTGGACTGGGTCCTAGAGTCACAGAGAAGTCACTGCCCCAGCTGTGGCCTCAGCCTCTCCCTCTCCAGATCCTCTCCCCTGGCTTCTGGTCTCCAGTCTCTCCCCTCCTATCCCACAAGGTCCCAGAGCTGACCCTCCCTTCTCTTCTTCAGGTCCCCTCCTTGGCTCCCTAGTGCCCCAGGAGAAGGTCCCAGATCCTCAGCCTAGCACCCCAGGCATGTTGGTGTGGCCCCCTTGACGCTTCTTTTTTCTTTTTTTATTAGAGCACAAGCAGAGAGAGGACTAGAGGGACTCCCTGCTGAGCAGGGAACCCAATGTAGGGCTCTGTCCCAAGAACCTACGATCATTACCTGAGCCAAAGTCAGATGCCCCTGTGCCTCATTTTATTCCCGTCCTTCCTCTCACTCAGTCTGTTTTCTCCAGTAAAACCCAGGAAGTGTCTTAATTGTCTTGCCCTCCCAGGGGACGTTTCCTGAGTCCACTGGTCATCTGATGCGTGCCATCATCTCTAGCCTCTCCTACCTCTCATCCTGACAAGCTTCCTGTTTCTGGAATGGTGCTTCAATTCACAATCCCACCAAACTGTGTGCCATTTCCTGACTCTGCAAGTACTGTTTCCTCTCCTGTGGGCCCTCCCTCCGCCCCCTCCCAAGTCATCCCTTCATTGAGCTTTCTCTGGGAAGCTTTTCAAACTTCAAGCTTTCTCTGATCTACCCTGGCTGAGTTAGAATCTGGCCGTGTCTGGCATCCAGTGTTACCTCGTTGAATGTATGCCCCTGTGGTGTGATAATGCTTTAGAATTAGAAGGAACTCAATGAATGTTGAGTTAATGCATGATTGACACCTCTCCTTCCATGAGTCCTAGGAGGATAGGTAAGCGGAGGAACCTCAGTGGTAAATGTTGGAAGAACAGCGAGATTAGTGTGGTTAGAAAGGACTGAACTGGGTAGGGAAACAGGAACAGATAGATGGTGAAGAGGTGGAAAGGTAGGGGGATAACCTCCGATGCGGGGTCTTTGGACCTATGAAGGACCGAACGTGGCGCTTAGTCCACCAGAGGGCGTCTCGCAGCCTCGGCCTGGTGTCTTACAAAACTACAACTCCCAGCGGCCCTCGGAGAGCGCGGCTCTTCCGAAGCAAACGGTGAGCTCCAGTGGCCACTGGAACTTGTAGTTCGCAGGGGGACCCTCCGTGGGAGGCCGAGGAACTCATTCCCAGGTCCCAGAAAAGTGTGGAGCTGGGTCCTTTCAGCCTTCTTTGGTCTCCATGGTGATGATTCCGGCGAAGGCCCGAGATTTGGCAGCGGCCGGCGCCCCCCTCCTACTCCCTCCTCTTCACCATCTGCTCCACCTTCACACCTGGCCGGGAGCCGCGGCCGCCGCCTCCGCACCCGCGTCGGGAATTCTGCTGCCACAGGGTGGTGCTAGTGGACGGCTCCGCGGGCTACTCTTCCTCAGACCCAGGAGTCCGGGTCTCCAGCCGCTCCTCCCTCAGACCCTGTAGTCCCAGCCCCCAACCTCCCACTCCCCGGGAGTCCGGGGGTTTCTCAAACATAGGCAAAACTGAGACCCAGAGACCCAGCGGGACAAGGCGAGAAACGGGAGGCCGTGGCGGGCAGTGGCTGCTGGGCCACCGGGTCCGTGCGCCCGCCCGCTCCCTACCCCCTTGAGAGCTTGTGCCACATCATAAAAATTTAATCCCAAATGCATTTGCGGCCCGATTCAGGGAGGCTGTGAGGAAAGGAGCACCCTCCCGGGGCTTGGATCTGGAGGTGGACTCAGCGTCGGGGAGAAGGGCTGGTCCGGCGAAAGGAGCAGGGGCAGGACCTGGGCGGGAGAAACAGTCCGGGTTCAACCCCAAAGGGGCAGGGCTGGCAGAGATGGAGTAAGAAGGCGGGGACGGGACACCTGGGTGGCTCAGTTGGTTAAGCAGCTGCCTTCGGCTCAGGTCATGATCCCGGCGTCCTGGGATCGAGTCCCGCATCGGGCTCCTTGCTCGTCAGGGAGCCTGTTTCTCCCTCTGCCTCTGCCTGCCATTCTGTCTGCCTGTGCTCGCTCTCTCTCCCTCTCTCTCTCCGACAAATAAATAAATAAAATCTTAAAAAAAAAAAAAAAAAGAAGGCGGGGACAGACCCCAGCAGGAGGGGACACAACTCAGGGGGCGGGAAAAGAAGTCAGTGGGTGGGGACAGAACTCCGACAGAGCGATTCCGGGGGGATGGGGCAAAAATTAGGGCAGGGACAGATCTCAGGGGAGGGGACCGAACTCAAGGGGCGGGAAGAGAACTCGGGGGGGAGTAGGCACGGAACTCAAAGGGTGGGATAGATTCCAGGCTGGTTGGGAATTATGGGGGTCGCTAATGGGGACGGGCGTGTAACTGAGAGATGGAATTGAGAGGGGAAGGAAATAGAGGATGAAAGAATCAGGAGGGGCATGCGCCCCGAGAGGAAATAGAATTGGAAGGGGATAGAATTTAAAAAAGGAAAGATGGAAACAGCGGATGGAAACCAAGAGGGAAGAAATCGGTTGGGGGAAGAACTGGAGGGGACAATGGGTGGATCGAAATAGGGGTCGGAATTCAGGGGGGAAAGAATTCCCTGAATGGGAAAAGCACCCTCTGAATGAGGAAGTTAGAACTGAGGATGACAAGGGATGGGGATGGAAATCGGGGGGCGGGATGTAGAACTGGAGGGCACAGAAACTCGCAGGGATGGGCTGGGAGGATGAAAACGCAGAAGATGAAACCGTAGGGGACGAAAAGCAAGGACGAAATTAGGGCGAACTAAAAAGGAGAGGGAAACCTCAGGTGAGCAAAGAGAACTCAGGAAGAGAGAAAAGGAGCTGGGGGGATGGAACGGGGAAGTAACTCTGGGAAGCGATAGAACTGGGGCGATGAAACTCAAAGGAACGGGTTCAGAGCCCAGAGGCGTGGTCTTGGAATGAGAGTGCAGGGGCAGAACGGAGCTGGAGGGCTACGAAAGGGGGCGGGACTAGAACTCAAGAGGCGTGGTCTATCGGGGATGGGCGGGGCATCGCCACCGCCCGCCCCGCCCCCGACGCTGAGTCCAGCTACAGCCCCTAGGCAGCCAGCACACGCAGCCTCCTTCCCCCCGAGCGGAGCTGCGGGGCCGGCCGGGCCGGGGCGGACCCCGGGAACCCGGACGCGGCCGCCCGGGCCCGCGGGCGGGGGGGATCGGCGGGGGGACCGGCGGCAGGGGCAGCCACCATGGAGTTCCGTCAGGAGGAGTTTCGGAAGCTAGCGGGTCGTGCCCTCGGGAGGCTGCACCGGTGAGCGTGGTGAGGGTCCTGGGCGGGAAAGAGCCCGAGGGCCCGCGGAGGACGCACATTCCCACCCGGGCCTGGACGGACAGATGGACGGGCGATGCCCGTGGGTGGGGGTTCCACCCATCTGTCCGGTTTTCTCCCTCCTTTTTCCGTGGTCCCCTCTCCTTGGTCCAGTCTCATCCATCACCTCGTTCATTTTTCCGTGCCCCCCCCCCCCCCCCCCCCGACCTTATCCTTTTTTCCTCTCTTGGGTCTCTGACCCTCTTCCCCACTTTTGGTCTCCGTTCACTTATCTTCACTCTGCCTCCTTTCTTCGGATCTCTGCCCCCTTTTGGGTCTCTGTCCCCCACCCCCCAAGTCTCTGCTGCCCTCTCTCTAGGTCTCCAACTCTTTCCTTTTGGGTGTCTGTTCCTCTCACTCTGGGTTTTTAATCCCCCATCCTGGGTGTCTCCATCTCCCTGTGTCTTCTCAGTTTCCATCTCTCAGAGAGTTTAATCTGAAGCTAAAGCGGATTGGGGCCCATTGGTCCTTGTCCTTGAGGAGAGCTAAGCTGGGAGGAGAAGCCAGGATTTCCTGGGTCTCTGGGGGAGAAAGAAGTTGCAGGCCAAAAATGAGGCTCCTGGGTCGTAGATCATAGACTTCCCAAAGGATATAGCCTAGAGCTAGGAAGGAATTCCTTTCATCCAGGGACATGACCCCAGTGACCTGAGTGTCTCCAGGGCAGTCTGGACACCTTCCCCCAGCCTCTCACCCCCAACCCCAGCCCTGGCTTCAAGTCAGAGAAATTACTCAGCTGCGGAGAAGCCTAAAAATATCTGGCCATAGTGCGGGGAGGAGACGGCCCCATCAGCACCATGCCCCTGCTGCCGTT